AAAGACGACTTATATTGTAGAAATCGCGAGAGTCGTCGTAGCGTCAACCAAAAAGAAAAAAAAAAAAAAAACAAACGAAATTCCAACCAAACGAAATCGATCACAAAGTATCGCGAATAAACCAGGGTAATCGAGCTGGTAGGGAGTATCAGGCGCTGATGCGGATCCGTTGGAGAGGAAATGCAGCGAAACACGAGCGCGAAAGTGATTGCCGGTTGGCTGATGCGCGATTAACAGGATTACCGATTCGATTAAACGTGGACGAGCAGCGAAGAACCGGCCGAGGCCGAAGAGAATTGACGTTATACTGTGGGCGACGATACGCGAAGCGGCCCGTATACCTCAGGACGCTACCAATATCCTCCATTCTTCGTGATTGAGCAAAGATTATCGATTAGAGCGGGGGTTGGGGTTGAGGTTGAGGGGTTGGGGAGGGGTTGGGGAGGGGGGGGGAGACCAGTTGATAAGATGCGTACAGCGTTCTCGCACGTGGCTGGTGCCACGCGATTTACTCAGCAATCCAACGAGACAGGTGCACGCTTATTGCTCGAGGTTCGTTCCTGATCGAAGGCCTGGCAAGGGCGGAGGCGATCGAGAGGTTCGTTTTGGCGCACAGGCGACTCGTCGAAACGCGGCGAAAGACCGAATCGAAGACGCGTTCGATCGGTCGGTACAAGACGAACAAGAAACATTATTTTTCTCCATCGTCGTTTATGGAGTTCTTCCTAGCGACGTAAACGGTTCATAAGCAGAACGAGAGCCTCGTATTGCAGTCAGCCAAGGACTGATCCTTCGTCCCCCTCTTGCACTCGCGCACAACGTTCACAAGAGGCAAGACGCACACACACACAATCTATCACCTGTTTCACCCGTATCCACGAAAGAAAACCGCTCGCGAGTCGAAGTAGTTCACAATTCGAATTTACATTCCTTTTTTGTTCGGGCGAACGATCGCAAGATCACCCTACGCGAGCGAGTGGTACTCGATTCTTCCGTTCTTCCATCTTCGAACCGGTGACGGCGATGGAACGGAGAAACGGAGAAGAGGGCCCAGCGGCGACGCTCGAGACCAGGGCGAGGAGGATTCGTTCAGCCAGGCGACGAGCCCGACACTCGGACAAGTGGTTGAACGAGGGTGATTGCTCAGTCGCAGGTGTCCTGTGCCCACGGAGACCACTCCTGGTAGGTGGACGCCTGCAGGTGTGTTTGCTGTACCGCCAGTCCCGGATGTACGAGTCCCATCTGATGATGATGGTGATGGTGGTGGTGATGATGGTGGTACTGCTGATGACCCGGCGGAGGCGGCGAATAGGGATCCCCTCCGACAGCGACGTCCACGACGTCGACCTGTGACGGTACGACGACTGGCGTCGGCTGCGGAGAGGCTTGTACCTTCTTCGGGCGACCGACCGGGTTGCCACCTCATTCGCGACTTCTTCGAGGCCGACCGACCTTACCTTTTCTCACCGGTGCGCCACCGTTGCCGGCCGCTGCCGCCGCGGCTGCGGCCGCGACGCTCGACGATTTCACGATTTTGTGCCAATCCGTCTCGCAGACCGGTGACCCCGACAGCAAGTAATACCTGGAAAAATCGGAAACAACAGTTATTTCAATCGTTCGTCGTTGAATTTCATCTGATATCCGTGCAATCATCAAACGAACGAACTCACAGTCAGCGAAGAGGCAAGTGTGTCGTTTGTTTGACGAGAAGTTAGACGCGTAATTTTCGAGCACAAGAACTCCTGGAGCAGCTTACATTCGGGCAAAATATCGAACGATCCGTCAAAGATCGAGAATACCGCGCTCGACGGAAGTGGTGATTAGCGCGGAGACGCGAACAATCGCGTTTCACAGGGACAAAAACCGTAGTTCGAAGCGAACATCTGGCAATCAAGCAGAGCACGACGTGCACACAGAGATATCCACAAAATCGATGTTCATAAACAAGATTGCTTCATTACCGGGACGCGATAATTGTGTCCCTCCTCCTTTATTACAAAATCCCCGGTTGCGATCCCCACCAATTAATCGACAGTCCCGCGTGACACGCCTCTTTTCCAACCCTTTAATTGACGCGTTTCCTCTTCGAGTCGTATCTATGCTCCCTGGCAAAATTCGCGGCTCTCTTCGTGTCTCTTTGAACCCACGATCAATTTCGTTCTACCCCTGCCTCTAACTCGATTGCAATTTCAACTAATTCTAAAGCCGACTGTTGTAGAGGTAACTAAATTACGGATGTTTATGCGAATTCGCATTTCTGCGAGCACAATTAATATATATATATATATATATATTTTTTATATCATGTACATTTCTTCGCCATCAAATATCCCACGAGCGCGTAAACATCCGCAGCTTAATGACGATATCAGTTTGTCCAATCGTAATTTTATCTAATCTCTTGTTGGAAACTATCGTCCACTTAGAGTGAAGAGTATAAAAGTGCCAGTGACAATGAAAAATTGTCGATTATTCAAACTGATAATTCAACTTCCTAAAAAAAAAAAAAAAAAAAAAGATCGTTACAACGATCCACTTGGTCTCGAACATTCTACATTGTTTTCCTTTTCGAAGATGATTTTGCATCATGTGCAGCGGATGGGAAAGCAAGGATATATCTTTTTCTCGAAGAATTGAAATCCAAAACATCCTTAAAACTCGCTGTATCGATTTTTCTTTCAGCATTTTATCGAACTGAAACTTTTCTCGTTTGAGCTTAATATCCAACGTTCAATGAAGTGGTGAAAAAAAATTCTGTGGTACACAAAAGATGTACCATAGTTGATACAATCGATTTTGCAATGACAAGGGATCGATGTAAGGAGGAGACTTCGATTTTCGAAAAAATGTGCGTGTTTGTTGTAAATCTCCCCTCACGGTCCAAGTCTCGAAAATTAATATCGTATCAGCGACGGCTAGTAAAGCACGTTTATTAGCTCTGGTAATCTTACCTATCGCCGGAAACGAGTTGATTTCCACACTTGCTGCAGGTGAAACATTTCTGGTGAAATACCGATCCACCCGTCCTCATTACTAGCTCGGTGGCAGGTATCGCGTTGCCGCAGCCAGCGCAAGCACCACTGCTTCCAAACATCCTGAAACAATCGTGAACAATGTTGATCAATCGGACATCTTGATTACCTCCGCGTTGGATTAATTCGTTAGATTAATCCATTAACGATCGATGCGTTAACGCACCAAATTCTACTTTTTAATCTTACGATCAAAAGGTAGAATTTTCAACAATTTCAACAATAATTAATATAATTTTTCTTTCTTATACATTTACAGGAAATTCAAAGGTACAAGAACAGTATAAAATATCGCAACATTTAGTGAGCGAAATCAATTTTTGCGTGGTAAACGTTAGGTTGGTACGCGTTTACAGGGAACTTAAATCTACAGAAACGCGTGGAATGTTCACGAGAAGCGAAAATATATATATATATAAAAACGTCGCAATATTTAGTGGGTGAAATCAATTTTCCGCGTAGACGCCATTTCCTTACTGTCATTTATGAAATGAGGTAAAGGTTAGGTTGATCGGGGGAAAGGGGGCGGACAAAGCGGAACCGGGCGCCAATAATTACGAGGTTTCTCTTTGTCCCGCGGAAACGAATATTTCTACGTTCATTAATGTTTCATTGGGTTATACGGTTAGCTGGGTACACTAACGAGTCCAGATTTATGCCAGTTACGCATTACGAATTCAATGATGTTGACTGAAAACTGGTAATTCGCAAAAACATAAGTAGATCTGCGCACGGCGGGCGTTGAATGTATAATCGTACGTATTATCGTGGCGTTAACAAAGCGATTTCCTTTTCTACGTCGGATAAATCGGATTCGGATGGCGTTCCCTGATGCGGCGTGCTTGTTAAACCATTTCGAATAGACATTTACAGCCGTACGTTTACGAGAAATTATAGAGAAATCCTACGTCAAACAGGCCAGACGATCATCCTCTGCTCGAGCGCTGAAACTAAGAAGAGGGAAAGTAGAAGGTTTTAATGGATTTCCCTTCCCTTTCTCTCTACTTCCTTTATCCGTCTTTATCTCTCGTTCCCTCCTTTCCCTTTCTTTCGAAATAGAATCATTATTATTACTACATAATTCATCGTCGACGTCGTTGAATCCCAGCGGAGAATCGTCCCCGATATTTCTCTCTTCCCATTGCCATAACGCTACATCTGGCGGCATTAAATATTACAAAAAAAAAAAAAAAACTTCTTGCCACTCGCGACAAGTGAAACAACGTCAAAGCCGTCTGGTGTACGTACGTATGTACATAACGTAGAACGAAATATCAGCCATCGACCGTTCTTTCCCTCGGCGCGCTGGGAAAGATTTGAAAACCCAACGCGGCAGTGGCGTTTCATATCATCGCGCGGCGTACGGGAACGTGTTCGCGAATCTCCGAAACGTGTCGGTTGCCGGGAGCTCGGTGGAGGCGCGCCATTAGTCCGAATATACAAATTTATCATCGGGTAGGGAGGGTGGTGGCGGTGGTGGTGGTGGTGGTGGTGGCGGCAGCGGTGACGGAGTATCCCCTGGAAAATCCTGGCGGTCGGATGAAGCGAGAAAGACGACCAATTACGGTTGGCGGCCGAGGGCTCAGAGGATGACATTCTCCGGCTCTCCCGGTTTGAACGCGATAGACACGAGGCGTTTCCAATTAAACCTCGCGCTCGGTCTCATCGCGCAAACACTTTCTAACTAAATGAGGTTAGGCCGGCAACAGAGGGACCCCGTGTAGAATCCTATATTCAACCGCGCCACGCTTCCCTTTCTTTTCTCCCTTATTATGCGTCGTCCCGCTGACGTTCCAGCTGCTTTAAACGACACGGAGCGAGCGAGAGGAAAGTGGAAGAGAGAGAGAGAGAGAGAGAGAGAGAGAGAGAGAGAGATGGAAATGGAGGAAGAAGGAGAAGGAAGGTAGAGGCCGATTATAATAAGGAGCCACACATACACATATATACATGTAATTGTCGCGACGTCTTCGTTCGTGCGAAATTCGTCCTTTTCTCGTTTCCTAAACGCGTTCCAACAGCGTTGGTCTAGTCGCCGGTGTGAAAAGAAACGAAGGAGGAAAATAATATAGAAAAGAATAACGAAGAACAGCCCCGCGCGGCGAGGGAGGAGAGAGGGCGGAAAAATGCGTTTGCGTCGCTGGGAATTTCGCTTCTTTTCGAAGCCGCGCTAGGCACGACGAGCGTTACCGTACCCCCTTTTGATCCCTTCGAAACAAGCGCGCTTTCTTTCAGGCTAAACGTCGTCGTTAGCCGTGCCAGGCTATACCGACTAGGCGAGTTAATAAACTCTTTCCCTCTTTCCCTCCCCCCTCTCTTCTACGTCTCTTTCTCTTTCTCCGTGCGTGTTCTCGGTCGCAATTAATACACGATGTAATTGATCGCAACGAAGAACTAGAAACGAACGTACGTAAGGGTGAAGAAATTGCGAGGTTCTGCCGTCGTTGGTGATAAAAATTCGGTAATCTCACCCACTCGAATGTCGACTCAAATCCATAGACAGAGGACAAGGGAAAGATAGAGATTCGAAAGGAAGCGACCGGTTTGTAATTGCAAAATAACAAATCTTGGCCCTTCGTCGTCGTCGTCGCCTTTGTCTCACCTCGCCGTCAGCGAATTATAACGATCAGAAGGGAAGAAGAACTCAGGGTTCGCGTCAAGAAACTCGCGAGACTGAAGGATTAACGAAACCGGAGAGAAAAAGGCTTAGAAATTTCATCCGAGTCGGCGAGTCGCCTCTCGGTCCAGCTTTTGTCGCAACGTTACAAGAGAACGCATCGTTCGAAACAACGTTCCCCTGGCGGATCTGGCCGAGCGTAAACGAACGAACGAACGTCCTCCGAGCCTCGAATTCCAGAATGGTCCCCCGGCCATGCTCTCCGGTAAAACGAAGAAACGAATAATGCGCCACGCCGCTTCCTAGCTTCGACGACCCAGCCCCGCGCTATCTCTCCGAGAGATACCGAATAATCGGCTTTGTAAAATGTTTGCGCGTTGCGCGGCTAAAGCTTTATAGGTTCCTATAATCTTTAAATGCGCGCAGCGTGTCGCGTCAACGCGTGGACGTTTCCCTCGCCGCGCCGTGCCGCGCCGCGCCGCGCCACGCCGCGTGTAATTCGCGCGACAACCCCTTCAGGCCGTGTGTATCATTAAAATTCCACGCTTTATGATCGCAACGTCCTTTCTCCAAGCGGTTATTAATAGTCGCCCGCGCCGCTACGGAGCAATTAAAATAATCAATGTTAATATATTTGGGTTAAGTGCGTACGGCTTGATGGAGTGCCTATACGACGTACAGGGTGTTACGGAGAAATTGGTGACGTTTGATCGAGATTGTACAAATGCTTTCTAATGTTGCCGATGTTTCGCGAAAGATGAACAGTCTTTCAGAGTGGTAATCGGAAAAATGAGAAGGACAGTACAGTCAGGTTCAGATTGATAAAGTTTCGTAAACCAAACATACCAACTACTAAGAAATAATACTTTAGTGTTATAACGATAACATTGAAGTTTTTGAAGTTTTTACAATTGTAAAGAAAGTACAACCTGATATTCATCCTTGGAAGCAAATATAAGGAGAAGTTTAGGTAACGTAAAATTAATTGACAAGGTACAGAATTTCAATTGCTGCCCCGTAAAAAAAAAAGAAAAAATGGAAAATTATGTTCTTCGAACGAGTTTCGAGAATAAGAGAACTACTTACAACTGAATTACAACTAGAATTTCCTTCGCTGTATCGATGTTTAGAATCACACCCTACGAATGTCATCTGCGTTTTCCAAACATTTGGAGAAAACGAACGCGAAAGTAAGTTGAAAAGTAAAATAAAAGGAGAGAAAAAAGGGAAACAGATGAAGGAAGATGTAAAGGGGACGAGAAGGGAGCAAATTGAAACGAACCGACGAAAAACGCTCGACGCTGTCCGATCGAGCCGGGTGAAATATCGAAGTTCGCCCGGTGAATTAATGGGAATTTCCATCGCGACCAGCGCAGCGCGGGTGCAAAAGAACGCGCGCTTAGGAAGAAAAAAAAAAAAAGATATTCCCGACGTCTCGATAATATATTTTCCATTGTTGACCGAGAGTCATTTTTATTTTTACCAAAGTAGATATTCGCGCTTACACGTATACCGATCCCGACAAAAGAAAAAAAAAGAATGAAAATTCGACATTTTAACTGGAGAAACTTGGCGAACGTCTCTGGCATCTGTTAGCCGTGCAACGTAGAGTAGCGCGTTTAATAAACAATCAAAATATCACTCCATACCCACGATAGCCATCAATCAGCAATAATCTTACCGATTCGGGTTAATTTAATAGTGAATTTATTTTATAGTGAATTGGCCGTAATTTCCATGAAATATACTTGTATTAAAATATATGTTAAACAACTCTCTCATAACTAGTCTTCCATACATTCCAAATTGTCATCAAAATTAATATAATACTACGACTATCAACATAAAAATATACACTGTAAAAATAAAATTGACGTTGCAATTGAAAAGCATCCCATTAGCATTAACATCAAGATCGCTACATTTAACAATAATTTATCTGAAATATTAAAATATTTAAATTAACATCAATATTCATATTTATCTTAAGCATTTAAATTTATATTTATATTTAAATAATTTATCTTTACGCGTATTTTATCTGTACGTTTGTACATCCGCGATAGCCGAGTCTCGTAACAGTGCTAATGAAATTTCAAAATGTTTCGCATAATTGACAAAAGGTATCCACCAATGTTGGAATACTTTCGTATTTCGAGCCAACGACGTAGTACAGCGATATAACGTCATCGTCTATCGACGTTATCGCCGGATACGTTCAGGAATTTTCGGATCAACAGACCTAGACAGAAACTGACTAGCCACTCGCGATGAGCTTGTTCACCACGTCCCATTCTATATTCTCTTGGCTCTCGCTTAACTTTGACTCGCGATATTCGCGAGATTAGCTGAAACGTATTCGCCGTGGGTAAATTAATATCCATCCATTAGCATTACGCAGGGCCGTTCTATCTCGGGGGCCAATTTCCTGGAATGTTCGCGTCAGGT